ACTAAAGAATCCAAACAATCCTACTAATGCGCTTGCTGTGTGCAATTGGTGTATAGCTAAAAATGGAAGTTTAGAAGTGACTAAGATTAAAGCTGAGTGTTGTACTTCAAATCGTGGACGATTATGTTGAAATCATTTATTAAAATGTGCAAATTTTCTTGAAGCTAACTCTGCTGAAGTAATTGACCGAATTTTAGCATTACCAGTATCTGAGGATAAAAACAAAAAACAAGATACAAATGGTATATTTAAAATTATATATATATAATATTGCAATATAAATTGATAATTTTTTTTTATACAGATGATGATAATAGTAACATATCTGTACCAACTTTAAAATATAAAAAATCATCTACAACTTCTAAAATTTCACAATCAGGTGCTTTAGTATCAAATCTGAATCAACCAATAACTAAATTTCTTTGTCGTTCTATGTCATTAAATGATAAATTGCATTTTGAAAAACTTATTCTTCAAATGATTGTTTCGAATGCATTACCTTTTACGTTTGTTGAAAATGAAGAAACATTAGCAGTATTTCAGTTTGTTGTACCAGGACTTGAATTGTCCAAAAGAAAAGTTATAAGTAATAAAGTGCTAATAGAAAGTGCAAAATCATTTAGTGATAATATTACTAAATTAGCAAGTAGTGATATAGATAGAGTAACTGCAATGTTTGATGGATGGACAAACATAAGACAGGAGCATATATGGGGGTAGTATTTATAATACATTAGGGCGGCCATTAATATGGAATGCATATAATATAAGTATTGAACGATCTAAAACTGAAGATATTATTAGGCATATTGAAAACTTAATTACTGAAGCTAATTCGAAAAATATAAATATAAAAGCATTTATTTCTGATTCTGCAGGAGAATATGCAGCTGCACAACGCTATTTGCGAAAAAAATATATATCGAAAGTATTTTTACCTTGCATGGCCCATCAAATGAATTTGCTTTTTGGAGAAATTTTTAAAGAATCAAAATTATATAAAAGAGTATCAAAAGAAGCTATTCGTCTTGTTAGTTTTTTTCATAAATCAGTTTTTTTTACAGAAAACCTTCGAGATGAACAAATGCAAATATATAAAAAAACTATCACTTTAATTAAGCCAGGAAATACACAATGGAATTCTTATTATTTTTGTTTTTATTCGATACTAAAATCACAAGCTGCACTTAAATTTATTTTAGCAAAATTTAACGACTATCGTACAAATGTAGTTAGAACAAATAGTATTCCAAATCAACTAGCTAATAACAAATCAGTTACTCGAGGTGGTGCTCGAAAATTACCTGATAATATTGCAGATATTATTAATGATTCAGAATTTTGGTCTGTATTATTTGAGCTTCAAGATATATTATATCCACTTTGTGGATTTCTTAATAAATTACAAAAAGACACAGCTCATCTTTATGAAGTTCTTCATTGTTTTGTATATGCAATAAAATTATTTAGTAATCATTTAAATTTAGAATTCGGATCAAAAATAGTTACACGTATAGAATCTCGTTGGAAAGAATGGGAACAACCATTACTAATTCTTGCATTTGTATTACATCCTGCTTATAAATTATCACAATTTCATGAATCGGTTACGGATATTTCATGGACCCATATTGGGCAATGGATAAAATATTATTATGAAGCTTGGTTTGAGTCTAAACCAATTTCAATTTTAGCAGAATTAATTAATTATAAACGAGAAATAGATCCATATGATATAGATTCTTTTAAACATTTTAAAAGAAATTTAATAGATTTTTGGGAATCGACTAGTGGTATAGGCCCTGAATTAGCACGAGTTGCAATTCGTATTCATGGTATCTGTATTAATTCAGCTTCTGTGGAATGTTTATAGTCATCCATGGGGTTATTGTATACTAATCGACGAAGTAGGCTAGAGGTATGTAAATATTAAACTAAACTTTACTATATTTGGATTTTATAATTTTTTTTTATTTATATAAATAGAAAAAAAAAGTTTTTGCAATGAGCCAAATTAGAAGTGACATTTTATATACTCGTAAAATAAAAGAAACTAGAGAATGTGAACAAGAAATGCAACGGCTTCATATAGCTGTACCAATTCCTAATAATGAAGATAAAGAACTTGAACCAGATAGTGATGAACTTTATCAAGTTAGTGATGAAGATAGCAATGAAATAAATTCTAAAGATAATAATAAAGTAATAATTAGAGAAGAAGAACAAAGATGAGATCAATTAATTCAAGAATGGATAAATCTAGAAATTCAAGAAAACTAATTTTATAATCAAGACGATCAAATTTTTATATCATCGGAATGAGATAGTGATTTTAATTTTGCGAATCGTGAAGTATATTCTGCTGATGATAATTCAGCTAAATAGAGTCTCGAAACATTATTTGTATCTTCTTTAGAAGCACCTTCATTTTTAGGTTCAGATTTAATTTTTACAGATGCAAAATAACAAGGCAAGAATACTATTCAGTATTATATAACAATAATTTAAAATTGTGTCTAAAAGGTTCATTTTTATTTATATATAGATAACAAATAGATTTTTATAAAGCTATGTGGTGGCGGTGATAAAGTTATTCAAGATATAATCTTGATATTTATAATATTTTGTACAAACATTTTATACTTTTTAAATAAACAATTTTATATTTTGTCAAGAATCATTGTAAAAAAAATTTATAAGCAAATTTATTATATTATTAAATTAAAAGTTCTAGACCTTAGTACTACATAATGATTACAAAAACAAGATTTATTTTGCAAGATAATCTATGCGATAGTAAATTTTTTCTTTTACTATAAATTACAAAAATGATCTTATTAATTTAAAGCAAAAACAATGTAGATTTCTTCGAAAAAAATTTTTCTTGTACTATAAATTACAAAAACGCTTTTATTAATTTGAAGCAAAAATAATATAGATTTCTTGTCGTTGAAGTAAAACCTACCCGAAACTAGTTTTGGAAGGGTTCTAATCTGAAACTAGTTCAGATTTTTTTAAAAAATCAAACTCGAAACCCAAAACCCAAACTATAATTCAAAACTCAAACTATTGTATAATCCGAAACTCAAAAATATAAAATGGAAGCTTTTAAAAATTTAAAAATTTAAATTATGCTTTTGGCAATTTTTTTTTCTGTTTCACTTTGTTTAGCCTCTTTTAAAGCTAGTTAACTTTATTTTAAATATCATACCGTCATTACAACTAATTCTAGGACAATAGAAAAATTGACAATGAATGAATTAATAAATTTTTGATGCCTGTTGATGCCGAATTTATTTAATTCTGTGGTAATTTATCAATTCGATCATTAGTATATGAACGTACTATTACTTATTTTAATAAAAAAACTGATGCATGTCTTGACTGTCAAAATATAAGCTCCGGAATTATGCCTATTTGTGAATTATAATAACAAAAAGAACCGAATACATGCAATGGATGCATTAGAAATATAGTGTGAGAAAAAGAGAGAAAGAGAGAAAGAGAGAGAGAGAGAAGGAAAGGCAGAAAGAAAAAAAGGCAGAGAGAAAGAAAGGAAAAGAGAAAGAAAGGGAAAGAGAAAGAAAGGGAGAGAGGGTAAAAATGGTATAAAACGCCTTTTTTTTTTTTTTTTTTTTCTAAGCCAGTTTTCTTTATTTTGTCTTTCTCTTTTTTTTTAACCTGCTTTTTTTTTGAAATTTTAATTTTTTTTTTTTTTTTTTTTTTAGGATTACTAATTTTAACCAGATTACCTGAGTTATTTAAGTTAACCAGGTTGTTATCCAGTTTTGAATTTGTTACACGAATTAGTTATCCGAAGTAGACGGGCTTAATTTTTAATTGAGATATAATACATCAATGCAGTTAATATATATACTACTAATCTAGCTATTTTATTGGCTGACCAAATAA